GCATAGGTTTAGTCTACGATCCAAAATCTGACTTGTCCCAATCATATTATCCCTTAGTCAACCCTTTTGAGCCGTGTGTCTAAGGGTCGCTCTTGTTTTAGGTAGCTCTTGCTACTTGACCTTAATTGATTCAGGTAGAGTGACCCTACTTTCTTCGCGTCTACACCGCTATCGAGTCACCGTAGTGTTTGGAAGCTCCATTCATACCATTTGAGCTTAAATGAGGTTCCACATGATTGATTTGTGTATGGTTTTGCTAAGAACGAAAAAGTGAGTGTTGGAGGTAGTTTTCAAAGCATGCACTGTTCCTTAAGTTAAAAAATGTGGCATGTACATATAACTCCCTATCGCCCTCAAGGAAAGGAGAAAAGAAAAATAAAAAGAAATCAATAAAAGGGCAAAGAAGAAAAGAGAGTGGCCACCAAAAATATAATAAATGTTGGACATGCTCTTAGAAGTGTTTCTTGGCATGTGAGCTATAGAAACACTTACATATTGTTGACCTGTACACTCTTGTGCTTGAATTGACTAGAAAATGTAGAAAGGAAGTGTGTGTGACATGGTTTGGTGATTGGTTGTGGTTTGGAATGGAGGGAAGTGTGGTCTTTGGCCGATGCTAGTGGCCATTGCTTGTAGAAGAAGGTTTTAGTCGGAAACCATAGAACCTTGTTTTGGTTTTAGGTCGAGGATGTGGAACATCATGTTATGTTTGCCACCACCCAAAAATCCTTTTCCCCATGTCCTAGATCCTAGCCAGTCATTTAACCCTTGGCTAAGACCTCCAAACAAGCTAGCAATGACACTCATCATGTGAGCTTTAGCATATAGAGGCTACCGTCATGGGAAAGACACGTTAGGATTGAGCGTGAATATGCACATCTTTTGCATCAAATGGTCCTGACCCCAGTGGTCGAGAGTGAGTGATTCATTCATCATGTTTTGTTCATTTCCTATGCCTCGGTGCGGACCTAGGTTGCTCAATCGTTCATTCTTATGATGTGATCTTCATGCATGAGTAGTTGTGATTGGTGAGTTGTGAGGCATGTTGTGTGTTGGTTTGTGAATAATGTGAAAACTCTTCTTTTGCACAATCTTAATACAGTTGAATGTCGTTTGTGTTGGTTGCCAAGATTACATTGGTTTTGTCCATAGGTCGATGTCAAATAACCATTGTGATTCATTCGTTTTGTGCCCTATGACGTGCCTCAAAAATTTTGTTGAAAAAAGCAGTTGTAAGCTTACCTTGTTTTATACTTGGTTTGCTTGGGGGACAAGCAAACGTTCAAATGTGGAGGTGTGATTCGGGTCCAAATGTACACATTTTACCCCTCATTCATGTCTGTTTTGCTTAGTAGATCACTGTCCCTCGACCTATTTTACACTAGGTTGTGCTTGTTTTGTTACATTTCAGGTCCTAGCACGCGTGGGAAGGTCGAGAACGAGTTCCGGTTCGATTGGAGGTCGAAAAGCGCAAAAAAGTGAAAAAATGGGACTGTGACAATTGCCCCGTGACCGTGAAGTGCGGAGGATCCATACTATTTTTGCGTCTCACTAGAGCCCTGTCAATTCACGGTCACGCGACCGTGAACTTTAGCTCCAGACCGTGAAATGCTATAGTGAGACGGCGCGTTTCTGATCGAGATTACGGTCTAGGCTTTAAGTTCACGTCCGTGAACTCATACCGTGAACAGCCTTCGATCTGGATATAAAGACAGCAGTAGGGAGAGAGAAAGGGGGAGCTGGTTTTAGGAGAGGAATAGTTTCTTTCTCTAGGGTTTCGACCAAAAACACTAAAGGGTAGTTCGAGAGAGATAGAGAGAGAGAGAGAGAGAGAGTTCTTGAGTGATCTTGAAGATTAATTAAAGGCATTGATCAAGGTTGGAAGCAAGGAATCAAGCCTAGAAAAAGAAGATCTTGTGCTCCAATTTGTAATTTCTCTTTGCTCTCTAGAAACTCAACATTTTCTCTTGAGTTTAAGAACACTAGGTCTAGATTTTGTTTCATTGTTGATGTATGTGACAAATTCCATGCTTGATTGATGATTTTACTTAATTGATGGATGTTTTCATGAATGGCATGAGTTTGGTTTCCATTTTGATGCATTGAGCTTTTGACCAAGGAGGGAGAAAATCCCCTTTGAGCCCATTATTGGCATCTTTGGGTCACTCCTCATCCTATATCGTACGGGTGATCCCCGAGGGAGTCAATTCCATCAATCTCCTACGATATAGGGTTTTCCTAATTTGAATGGAGCATACCCCATTCATCGATTCGACGTTCCGGGTCATTCCCGAGGGAGTCCATCTCCTAACGGTAGAGTATTTGAGTCGATTGAGCTAGGAGGATACTCAACATCAATCAAAAATGTTGGAACTAGGGGGATTCAGCCCAAGAGAGCTCCCAACCTTGTAAATAGCTAGGTTAGTAGACCTGGAAAATTACAACCCGACCCGTTGACCAGACCCGAAACCGCCCGAAAACTAGAGATTTTTGTAACCCGAAATCTGAATGACTTGAACCCGATAACTCGTGATTTTTTGGGTCGGTTGGGTGGGTTAGCGGGTCGGCCCATTAGACCCGTTCCATTTAATATATTACTCCCAAAATATGATAAAATCACTCATAAATTGGTGAGATGATTAAAAAAATCACAAGGATTTGAATGACATGTTTGGAGTTTAAGGATAATCAAATATCATGTGTTTCTTGAAGTAGTATTACTCTTGTGATTATTTTTTGACGATTTGCGCAATTTATATTTCATATCATTAGTGTGGGAGGATTTAAGAATATATTAGTTAACATGTGTTCGGTAAACTATTGTCATGCATATGTGAAAATTTGTGCTCGTTAAGAAAATATGAAACATGTTTGATATTGTTTCTGAGAACGCTCATAACCCGAAATGACTTGTAACCCGACCCAAAACCGAATGGGTTGGGTCAATATTTGACCCGAAATAAGCCAACCAAACATGAACCGAACCGTAACCGAAGTTCCTAACCCTAAATTATCCAACCCGGCCCGATTGCCAGGTCTATAGGTTAGTGGTTAGCTAGATTAGTTTGTTTAGTCTTCTTAATCACTATCCTAGGTTGGCTAGATAATGAACCCTAAACCTGAAATAGGGTCAGCCTAGATCCCCGTGGTACGATAAATTATTATTGCTTGCTTGCCCAATGTTACACCCGGTCAGCAGTTATAGTTTGCCTTCGATCGAGATGTTATAGTTGGATCGAGTCGTGCTCATTTCCCGAAGACCGGCGGGATAGGCAATTTTTGATTCGGTTTTCTAGAATTCGGTTTCTATAAAACTTACTCCACCTCATCATATTACCAGAAATAATACTGTTTCACAGGGTAACTGGTACTCGAACTTGGTTCATAAGGCTGATTTTTTATTAGTTGAATCATCCATGCCTCTTTCCTGCTAAAATTCACTATCTTTATCACGTGTTTCCAAAAATAAAAAAACTATACAACAATGCCCATGTTTGGTCAGGGGGTTAAAGAAGTGTTTTTCGGCTTCAAAAGCTGAAGGAGGGCCAACACCTCTAAAAGCTCGACTTTTGAAAAGCAGAAAAGCGCTTTTGTATAACATAAAAGCAAAAGCTCCGATTTGGAGCTTCTACGTAAAACTGTTTTGAAAATATAAGATTATCCTCACTATATTTTAATTTTATTTCAGAAAATATAATTTTATTTTATTTATTTCATTTTAAAAGTAAAATAAATTATAAAATTATATTATTTAATATAAAAGAAATATAAGAAGATCCAATTTAACTATTTTTTATTGTTTATAAATTTTATTCATAATTTATTTATATTAAAAGCCCTTTATAGTCATTTTACACAATTTTTCATATTAAAAAGCAGTACTAATAATTTTTAACCCAAACACTCAATTATTTTTTTTTAAATGTTTTTCTAAATACTCCACCAAGAAATTGCTTATTCAAAAGTTACAATAGAGCCAAACTAGCCCAATAAACTATACACTGCATAACATTGTCAAATGTCATACTTCGCCTTCTTTCAATTAACGGGCCGGGCTCAAAGCCCGTTAAAACAAATATAAAAACAAAACACTGAAAATGAATCGTTGAGTACTTGGGAAAGAAATAGGGCTTAGGATATGGTTAGTAACCAATGGTTACTAACTTATGAGTAACTAAATCTGGACCTTTAGATTTAAGTGAGTCCAGAAAATTCAGATCTAAAAGTTGTCAATTAAAGGCATTTTATTTTCTTTAGTTTTCTTAATTGGCTCTTATCTTCTTCGTTCTAACTCGGATGTTAATTTTTTTTGCACAGATGGAACGAGTTCGTTGTGCTCTACAAAATGAGATCAATTTTCAATATATTTCGAGAAACTTTTTTTTACCAACTACATACCATATGGTAACTTCTTCGTTTTTAAGTCGTTTTTGAAAACGTTTGCTCTGAAGGAACGAGTTCATCATGATCTATTGGATCTATAAATTTCTCGGTGAAAAAAATACTGGATAAAAAATTACCATACTTTACCACTATGGTATGTGATTGTTAACTTGTGGTAACTAGTAGTAAACAATGATGAAAGTCGTAAATGACCGTTAATATACTTCTACTATCATGTATTCAACCTTCTTGCCATATTGGTATGTTCATACCATCATGATACGCTTTCTTATCATATAGTATTAAATTGGAGCATCCATATGGTAATGACTGGTAAAAAATTATTTAATTTCTTGTGTACTAAAAATATGATAAGTGGATATCATTTTGAAGAGCATATTTAATCTGATTTATCTGTGCAAAAAAAATTAAATTTCGGTTTAAAACGAGAGAGAAATCATCTGTAAAATATTAAAAGGGAAAAGATAAAAGACTTTCAAGGAGAGAGAATCTACTCATGTTGTGCTGATTGATGTGAACCTGTTATTCATGATTAGTGACCGCAAAGATACTGACACGATACGCTACGGGAAATAGATGAATCACCATCCTTACCAGTAGCCACACCGATCCAATTTGTTATCGTCTTCTTCAATCCAATCGCGCCACAGAATCAAACCTAAGTGGAACAAGAGAAAATCCCCCAAAACCCTCAATACTCTCCATACCCATGGAGATCGCTTCCATTACCCTTTCAGTTTCAAGGCCGCCATCCCTTTCTTTCCCCATTTCTTCTTCCAGCTCCGCCTTCTTCAACACCGCCGGAGTCGCCCTCTCCAGCAAGCCCAAGAAATGCGTCTCTCTGGTCATGCGCAGGGTTAGAACCCACAGACCCAAAAAGGCTATGATTTGCAATGCGCTGTTCGGTTTGGGCGTTCCCGAACTCGTCGTGATTGCTGGTGTGGCAGCTCTGGTTTTCGGTCCCAAGAAGCTCCCCGAAGTTGGCAAGAGTATTGGTAAAACTGTCAAGAGCTTCCAACAGGTGAGCTAGTTGTTCTTTCTTTACTTTGACTATCCCGCGTCACTCTTGTTTGGAAGAAAGATGGGAAGAATAGTGTTTTGGTTGTGGCTGCTTAGGTGTGGTTTGTTAGGTAGAAGATCGGAGAGACCAGTTGAGCGAAATGGGTCTTAGGGATTGATTTACTCTTTGTTTGCTGAAGTGCTGCTAAAATAGATCGGATATTGGCTCTGATGCTTTTGATTGAGTTGGCTTGAACTTCACTGGTGAGCAAGTTAGGGTTTCAGGAGCACAAATTTCAGGTGTGAGATGAAATGATTTTATATGCCATTTGCGAAAATGATTTGAACTATAGGACTTTTGAGGCAGTTTTTTCAAGCTCCCTATAGACTTCTGAGATATGTTTGGTTAAGCATGCCTTTTGCTTTCATCAGTTCTAATTGTCGTTTCCATTTCAGATATAAGTGAATTAACTTCGTTGTGGTTAATTGGGAATATAAGGATTGTTAATTGACTTAAAAAGTGAATACTTGCTTGGCCTGGACCATTATGATCATTGATGCTCACTTCGCTAAATTATTTTAAAGACTCCTACAAGGTTTGGGCATCTACATCAGTGCTTGCTTCTTTCAAGTTGTTTCATAACTGGCAATTCCAGCAGTCATTCGCTCCATAGATAGATGCTAGCTGAATGCTCTCATTTCCTGCAAATTTAAATCAAGTAGTAGTAGGTAAAGAAATATGGTGGTCATATGATCCTTCTGTCGGTTGATCAATGTCCTTGGTTTTGTATCATAATTGTGTTTGCTTGGCCTTCAAAGAAAGGTAGGCTTTGCCAGCATAGTTGAGAACATACTGAACCAGCGGTAGTTATCTGAAAAATTGTCATGATTTTTGTTGTCATGCATTAGTTGGAATCTTGAAACTTTAATGTCAGGCCTTAAAGAGTCCCAAGCAATTCACAAAAAAAAAAAAAAAAAAAACGAAGTCCCAAGCATTGTGGCAGAAGAAAAGCTTGATCCTTTGCAATTCTTCTGCAGTTCCGTGTTAAGGGTTAGTGCCTGAGCAAACTGTGATTCAAAGGAATTGTTCCTCGTTTTGTACCCACGACTTAGGAAGATACTATCTTTTACGGATTACGACAGGTACTACTAGCAGATAAGTTGGCTTTTTTCTGATGTAATATTGATTTAGAAAATTTATGTGGAATGCCTTAAGCCTGTTTCTCAACCAAGGACTACAAGTCTTATTTATAAGTTACTAACTTGTGTAGGCTGCAAAAGAGTTTGAGACTGAGCTCAAAAAGGAACCTGAAGAGACCATGACAGCAACACCCGCAACAATTAATGAAGAGAAGAAGCCGCAGCAACAAGATTTTGAAGTATCAAGCTCAAAGGATAGCGTATGAGCATCGTATAAGCATATGTAGTTGCTATGTTTTTCCAGGAAGATCCTATTCTTGTAGTGATGTGTTTTAAACGTAGCCCTGTTCTCGAGTTGTAGAATGAATGCACGGCTGTCCGTTCATCCAAGAACTTTGGGACAAGATCTTTTATCTTGAAGTGGGACCTTGGGATTTATTTGCGTTATATCACCTTCGGTTGCCTGATTTACCATCATTGTGGTATTTAGATTAAGCCATTTGCCGAAGATGTCCACGAGCTGTTCTTGCCCAAAATCATGGGGAGGACATGTTCTAAGAAGCTCTAGGAATCGCTCTCAAGCATCATACACAGATTTAGACGTACATTGCCTGAAGTGAGCAATTTGGTTTCTCAAATCGTCAGTTCACCATGGATGGTAGAACTCTTTTATAAATGGTTGGACCGGATCGTCCCACGTACGAAAAGGAGCAGGACGTTGACTATTTAGTTAACTCTTTGCTTTCCCTCATATGGAGAAAGGAAAAAAAGGTATTTTGATTGCATCTGACTCAATACAAGGGTGTTGTGCAAAATCAATTATCTCCATATATGCTTTGATGTGTTCGACATGATTCTCATTATCCCACCCTAAAATACGTTCGGCATTCTGGACTATGTGAATTGTAAAAGTCCATAACTCAAAATTTGGGATAGTGACTGGAGGCAGGACAATGTTGCAAGCAATGTTCGTGAAGTCTGTTGCACTCGTAGAGAGGTCATTCAGCAATGCTTCTATTGAGTCGTTTGAATGAGGGTTTTTTATCCGTGATTTTTGCACAATCTCACATTCTATGGGATTTTGACAAAATAATGTGCATAGAAAGGGGTCCGTAAAATGAATTTTGCATGTGAGATATTCAAAAACTCACTAGTGTGGGATTTCAAAATAATACTTTTTCTTTCTTCTATCTTCTGAACTTTCCTTCTCTCTTCCAACAGAGCTCATGTTGACCCTCCCCAATCCCCCCATCTTCCCTTTCGTTCCCTTCCCTCCCGTCGACCTTGCAAATCCCTTCCAATTGACGGTGGTGGTGACTAGTGGCGGAAAGTTCTGCCTCCCTAATCATTTGCCCCGGGAAGACTATTAACAGATAATGTGATGATAGCTTTTGAAAGTTTTCATGCTATGAAGGGAAGGGCACGTGGAAAGAAAGGCTTCATGTCTGTAAAGCTCGATATAGCAAAAGCCTATGATAGGGTTGAATGGAATTTTCTGGAAGAAGTGATGAAAAAGCTAGGTTTTGCTGATAGATGGGTGGCTCTGTTGGCGAATGAACACAAAACGAAAACCTTCTATCCTACAAGAGGATTGAGACAGTGAGATCCCATATCTCCCTATCTGTTGCTCTTTGTGGTGGAAGGTCTTTCAGCTCTACTAGTCAAAGCTGAACAGAATAAGGAGATAGAAGCTTTGAAGGTTAAGAAGGAAACCCCTTCCATGAACCACCTAATTTTTGCTGATGATAGTATTCTGTTTGCTAACACCAATCGTCCACAATGTGAGCATATCAGGGATATCTTACAGTTATATGAGGTTGAATCAAGTCAGAAGGTAAATCTAGAGAAGTCTGAGTTATCTTTCAGTTCAAATGTGAAGGAAGAAAAACAACAAGAGCTTGCGGGAATAATTGGAATGTGAATTGTACCCTACTATGCCAAGTATCTAGGGCTTCCTACAGTAGTGGGGAGACAGAAGAAAGCAGTATATAACTACTTGGTTGACAGAGTAAGGAAGAAAGTTAAACTCTGTAAGACAAAGTTACTGTTGATGTGACTTGAATCGGACTCTCAGCCGCTACGACTGGTAATCGGGGGTCTCGCTGTTATTTGGGTTCAATGTTATTTGGGTTCGGGTTCTAGGCCTGGTCTGTAACCGTTTCATTTGCCAGATTGGATTAGGTTTTAGACCCACATGGAGAAGTACAATAAATACTTCTCATACTCCTCTGTAATCTGTAATCTCCTCGATATAGTGAAACTGACTCTCTCTCTCGCCCGTGGACGTAGCTAACACACATCGTGTTAGTGAACCACGTAAATCGTGTGTCCTGTTTTTTTGATTCTCGCTTTCGTATTCTTGCTTTGTCGATTCCTGCGATTTCCCGATCCGTAGCAGCGCGTTTATAACAAGTGGTATTAGAGCCGCGGCTGGAAATCAGGCTAGGGTTTTTCGATTCAGAAGAATGACGTCGGTTAACATGAAGATCGAAAAGTTCACGGGGAAGAACAGCTTCGCTATGTGGCAGATCAAGATGCAGGCTTTATTAAAACAGCAAGGGCTGTGGGGGCCGCTGTCTGCGAAACAGAAGAAGGCAGCGGTCGATGACGATGAGTGGAATACCCTAGAGGAGAAGGCCCACTCGACCATCATGCTATCGTTGTCTGATGATGTCATCATTGAAGTCGCTGCTGAGAAGACTGCCGCGGGCTTGTGGATAAAGTTGGAGAGTCTGTATATGACAAAGTCCTTAACCAACAAGTTGCATCTCAAGCAACGGTTTTTCAGCTTGAGGATGCAAGAAGGTACGCCTTTGAGGGAACATCTCGAACAGCTTAACTCTATTTTGCTGGATCTGCGTAATATAGATGTTCAAGTTGATGACGAGGATGCTGCCCTAATCCTACTGGTTTCTTTGCCGAGTTCATATGAGAATTTCGTTGATTCTTTGATTGCTGGTAAAGAAAGCGTGTCGTTGGAGGATGTCAGGTCTGCTCTTCATACGAGAGAGATCAGGCATAAGGCGTCTGGATCTGGTACAGGTGGTGAGGCATCGGGTTTGGCTGTTACAGGTGGAAAGGGAAAGAAGAAATCTGGTAAAGGGAATTCGAACAAGAATTCCAAGGGTCCCGGTCCACAGCCAGGTGATGCTTGTCACAACTGTAAGGAAGTGGGGCATTGGAAGTACAACTGTCCGAAGAGAAGAGGGCAACAGAAGAAACAAGGTTTAGTTGCCGTTGCAGAAGTGGACAACAGTTCTGAAGACGATCTCACCTTGGCTGTAGATGAGAAGGCACATCGTGGGGATGTGTGGTTTCTGGATACTGCAACCTCATATCATATGTCTCTGAACAGGGATTGCTTCACAACCTACGAGCAGATAGATGGTGGTAACGTGGTCATGGCTAATGGAGCTGTCTGCAAGGTTGTTGGAATCGGGTCCATAAGGGTTCGGACACATGATGGTTCGTTCTGTACCGTGAATGATGTCAGGCATGTTCCACGAATGACAAAGAACCTGATCTCCTTGAGTCTACTCGACAGCAAGGGTTTCAGCTTCGAAGGAAAAGGTGGAGTTGTGTATGTCTGCAAAGGTTCAAGGAAGGTGCTGAAGGGCATGAAGCGTGGGACCTTGTATGCATTACAAGGGTCGGTGTTTTCTGGTTCTGCTGCAGTTGCATCGTCTCAGGTTCATCAGGAAGATATGACCACTCTCTGGCACATGAGACTGGGGCATATGAGTGAACGGGGGATGCAAGTTCTGTCGAAGAGGGATCTTCTTTGCGGACACAAGATGCAGAATTTGGAATTCTGCGAGCATTGTGTGTTTGGGAAGCTACATCGCAGCAAGTTTCCCAAGAAGGGTATCCACCGGACAAAGGGGATACTAGATTACCTCCACTCTGACTGTTGGGGTCCTTCACGAGTTGAATCCATTGGAGGAGGCAGATATTTTCTGTCTATTATTGATGATTATTCGAGATTTACTTGGATTTTCATGATGAAGCAGAAAAGTGAGGCTTTCATGAAGTTCAAGTAGTGGAAGACATTGGTGGAGAATCAGACCGGGAAGAAGATCAAGAAGCTGTGAACGGACAATGGTCTGGAGTTCTGTAATTCTGAGTTCAACAAATTCTGCAAGGATGAAGGGATTGCCCGTCATCGGACTGTGAGAGGTACACCCCAGCAGAATGGCATTGCAGAAAGGATGAACCAGACATTGTTGGAGAGAGCACGGTGCATGCTCTCTAATGCTGGACTAGAGAGAAGATTCTGGGCAGAAGCAGTGAACATGGTGTGCTTCCTGATCAACCGTGGACCTCACACAGGTATTGAGTTGAAGACTCCTTATGAGGTGTGGTATGGTAAGTTTGCTGATTACTCTTCACTGGAAGTTTTTGGGTGTCCTGTTATTATCATGTGGATGAGGGTAAACTGAACCCAAGGGCAAAGAAGGGTGTATTTGTGGGTTACAGAGATGGAGTTAAGGGATTTCGAGTTTGGTCACCTTCTGAGCATAGATTTATACTCAGTAGAAATGTGATATTTGATGAGAAGTCTATGTTTAACCCCATGTTGAAGGTTACTGTTGTTGAAGGTAGCAGGAATGTTGATAAGCAGGTGGAGCTGCAAACTCTCAATGAGAGTGAGTTTGAGAACCAAGGTGGAGAAGATCAACATGATGAGGATGTCTCTGCAGAGCCAGAAACTTCAGAGTCCAGTGCACGAGCTCAACAGTCTATTGCTTCCGGTAGACCGAAGAGAGCGACTGCAGGAGTACCTCCACAGAGGTATGATTTCGAGGACATGGTGGCGTATTCATTTCAGGTTGCTGAAGAAGTGGATGCAGGAGAGCCACAGTCCTATAAAGAAGTCGTTTCGGGTGGCGAAGTTGATCAGTGGCTTGCCGCAATGGGAGATGAGATGGAATCCCATGACAGGAATCAGACTTGGGAGCTAGTCAAACGACCATAGGGAAGGAAGATTGTTACAAACAAGTGGATCTACAAGAAGAAGGAAGGAATCACTTCTAAAGAGGGCATGAAATTTAAAGCTCGGGTGGTTGCACGAGGCTTCTCGCAGAGGGAAGGAGTTGACTACAATGAGATTTTCTCACCAGTGGTCAGACATACTTCGATCAGAGTGCTACTAGCAATAGTGGCACATTATGACTTGGAGCTCGAGCACTAGACGTGAAGACAGCTTTCCTACATGGAGAGTTGGAGGAAGAAATTTACATTACTCAGCCAGAAGGATTCGAGGTTCCGGGAAAAGAAGATGACTCGACTCTACTGTCACTCCAGGAATTGGCCAAGTGAAACCACTTCCTAAAGCGTAGTATAGCGGGTTTGGGTTTAATTATCAACCCGGGTCCTAGATGTGATGACTACTCAGTGAATTCTTGTTATCTAGCAATGAAACTGGCATGCAAGTCTAAACTA